GGTCAGATACTGACACAATAAATGTTCATTTTTCCCCTGATTGTAAAATGTGTATTAACTGTTTATTCTTTGGAAACACATAAACTTCAGGCTTTTTAAATAAAAAGACAGAATACTTTTATAAGTCACTTATTAATTATTTCAAAGATGGATTCACGCCGGGGAGATATAATATATATACAAAATAATTGGAACACCTTGTGGGAAGCGCGTTGCAAAGATCCTCCTCTCCCCCATTCAATGTTGCGTTCATTTATTGGACCAAGATTCGGCCCAGCTTACCCAATGAGAAGCAACACAGACAGGGGGCGAGGGGGAGGCATGTTCCAACGAGATTTGTCCAGGATTGTCTCTAAAAAGTCAGCCTTATCCTAATCCGGATCGTAAGTGTGACGTCACTTCAGTTTTAACCATGCCTACTGTACACGTGCACTGCACATAGGATTACATGTATTGATCTCCAGTATATAGAGTGGATAGGACATTGCGTCCAAAACGCGCCCCGCGTATGCGTATTTTCAGGAGGGTAAATGACGAGCGTTGCGAATTTCGTTTCGTCCACTTTCAAAATGGAGTTTTTCAAAAACCGGTTGAGGTTTTTGTGCTCCATCCAATCGTCGGATTTTGAAGAAAAACTGAATTCCACCCCTGGAATGAATAAATTTGGAAAGAATAATGGTTGAGGTGTACGCAGCAGTGGATTAACGGAAATCAAGTCAAGTCAGGGTGTGAGCTCAACTTGAATTTTATATCCTTTTTACACTGGAAATTCAAGATTGTGGCCAGAAGATCACTTTTCCTTCCAATGTGATTGGGGCTAGCCGCGAAAAAGTTTTTTATTCGCCTTTCCCTAAAGATACTCCTAAAATAATAGTAAGACTATGCGCTCAACTCCGAAGGTAGCCACCCGCCTCTATCCAAAGTGGGCCCGCAATTTTGAGGCTTTTTGTACAAGAAGTATCTAGACCTGAAAACTACTAGTCCAAAATTCGGGATTTATAGAAACATTTCTATGATCCCTTCTGATTATGGCACGTCTTACTTAAAAAACCCCCAAAGATCACAAATTACTAATGAGCTCGCGCGCAGAATTCCAACCATTTGGTGAAATGCGTCCTATTAGGACTGTGCTTCTCCCACGTTAATTTGAAATAGCGCCCTCAGGCTTTGTGTTACATATTACGTAGGTGTCCAGTCTTTTGTGTGACATTCAGGAACTAAATAGTAAAACTGCATGTTTTGTGAGATAACGATCACTTTGACATTTTCCTGTATGTCAGTCGTGTTTGCCGATTTCACTGTTTTGGGGGAGGGGTCTGGTTTTATGCCCTCATCCCCCCAGGAGGCGTTACTGAACTACCCATACAAACCTGTTGGAAATAACAGGTACATTTTGGAAGTATTGGGTTTGAAAAGGGAGCTACTTGACTATGTCTTTTTTGTAACTCCGAAATCCGATATTAAACTTATGGCCAATGAGGCACGGATTAATTAAAATGACAACATTAAGTTTCAATCAGCTTGATCAAAATTAAGTCTAACGGGGGTTACCGTGAGTGGGGGGGGGTGACAGGATGACCTATGCGCCTATTCAGGCGAGAATTGGGTAAAACCCAAAGCAAATACTGATTTGACATCCATTTCATTGTCGATGTCGTTTTCTGTTCTTGAAACTCCAGCAACTAGGGATTGTTCCTTTCTTTCGTTTTCATTTCATTATTTTCCTGCTTGTATTTTTCGTGCAGACCTGTCTGACCAGAGTAAGTGATGGATCAAACATTCACATTCAAGAAAAGGAGCGGCAGATGCAACGCATTTGTGGCAACTTTTGGGGTAACCCAAGAAGATATGGGACGTATCTTTTGTGAGAATTTTTCTTTGAAAATATCAAATTACTCTGCAGTTGAAAGCCAACGAAATTTGTTGTTATAATAAATGAAAATGTATTTCCATCAATAAAATAGGAAGGCGAGTGCCGCCCGACTGTGCCACCCCTGGATCTCTCACTATTGAATCTCCGCTAATAAACATTATACGCCTGACAGCTTTTATGCAGATCACTGAGAAGAAATGGACCCAAGACGGTTGGGATCGGTTTCACTGTCGAAAATTTCAG